AGCCAGATATGAATTTCAGTATTGACTCCACTAACCTGGCTAAGTTGCTTACATCTTAGTCTCAATTTTTCATTTATAAAAATGGTAACCATCAAGTCTACTTGGAAGATTGCTACAAGGATTAAATATTTTTAAAAATCGCATATTTCCTAGGATAGATCATGAAAAATAGCAAATACCATTTTCTTTCTTATGACATCTTTGCTTTTATATGTATTTTTTATATGTATTTTTGTTAGAACTTAAATTTTATTTTATTTTTTTTATAGAGGCATGTTTTATTTATTTATTTGTTTGTTTGTTTTTTATTTATACATGCACTGGGTACAGTCAGAAGCGCGGGAGGGTGAGAGAATTCACCAGAGCCAGAGCGGGGAGCAGAGCAGGCAGACAAACGAAGCACACTGCTGAGGAGAGCAGCGGGCGGCAGGAGAGGTCTGCGCGCCATGTGGGACCCTCCTCCGGTGACCGGGGAGCAGCCGGGGATCGAACCAGCGCCGCAGAGGTCGCCGGCAGGTTTGCAACCCAGCGCTCAACCGCTGCGCCACCGGGGAGGCCCGAACTTAAATTTTAAATGCAGGTTAAAAAAAAAAATCTACTTTGTTCCAGTGTAAAGCTTGTACAAATAAGGGCCATGAGCTCATTGCTCCAGTTTCAAGTATAAAGGGTATATTTTTAGTTTGTTGGGTTTTTTTTTTTCTTGGCACACAGAGAAAAAACATGTATTATTTGTCATCATTCTGAATTCTATCTCACACTTGTGTACTTTTTATAACTTTGTCTAACATTGAAGTCTTTTAACACTAATTTATAGCTATACTCTCCCATTCAGGCATTTACCTTACATATTTCAAAACTAAATGCTCTGTAGCATGACACCAAATGTTTCTTCCAATAATTCCTCACATGAAAAGTTTCAGTACAAAGAGGTCACAGGAATCCACTGTCTGAAAAAACTAAGACGTTTTAACTGACCTCTACATCCTATGTCCTAAAACCCTACAAGTAAATGGAAATCATGGTTCTCGATGCCAGCTACTATTTTCTCCCCTAGTAATTAACATCCTGCTTTGAAAATCTTGCCTGGAGCTCATACTGTCAGAACAAGTAATCACAAATGACAGCCCACCGGGAACAAGGCATTCAAGAATTTAGAGATTTGTGATGAACCACACCTACTCCCTGGGGATCACGGTTGTGCAAAGCTCTACTGTGGCACATTTCCAGTTTTCTGGAAAGGAAAGTTATCTAACTAAGTAATATCATGGAATGCTCTAGTCCTTTCTACTTATACTGGAGAACATGGTCAACGCTAGCTGATTTCTACAATAAAACTCATTTCATATTTTTCAAATTGCATGATGTAATCTAATTGTGGGTCCTGAAATCATATTAGTGTATATAAACAGTATTTTCAAAAGTGAAGAATAGAATAACATGGAAAGGTAGGAAGCAAAACAACTTGAAATAGAAAACAGAGTACATCGCATGTAACATTTACAAATATTAAAATATTATTTTGCAAAACTTTCGTTTAATTTGTTCGCATAGAATACACTAGGGTGGTGATTTAAGAGTGTTTTTGTTTTATTGTGGATCGTATACAAAAATCTTTGAAAGTCAATGAACTGATGTAATGGACACATAAAACGGCTGTCCATGTGTCCCTTCAAGAAAGGGCTTGCCAGCCAGCAGCTTCAAGTGCTGTCATCAGACACCTTCATTTCTCTGCAACTTCAGGGGCTGCCTCTGCTCCAGAGATCCACCTCACATCTCAGACATAGTCTCACCCTTCCTAGTGTTCCACATCCAACTACTAACACAGGGGGCAAAAAATCAGATTATTTTGTTTCAAACCAAGACAATTCTTAACAGGCCATTTTGACCTCATAGACCCTCATGGGGTCAACTCAGACTTGTTGAGATCTGCACAGCAGTTCATTCTCCCCCTTTACCCAGTCCTACTTCCTTTCTCTTCTACAGATATAGTCCCAATGCACTCCCTAATAGAAGTCCTACATACCAAGCTCACTTTCACTTCTGCTGTCTACAGAACCCAACTTGTGATATCCAGTTATTGGGGGAACAAAGGTTTTTTGAAATAACAAGGACAAGTATATAATAAGTAAGCATCTTTACATCTTTACATAAAATATAGTGCTTGATTTTTCAATGGAACTGCAAGTTCAAAGGCTAACGTCATGACCATCGTGTTTTTACCCTATTGGCTACTGATGCCTTCAATCAAAATGCACATATACATTCCTTAATAAAGTTTGATTAGTTATTATTTTTTTTCCCTTAACTTGTATGCTAAAGTATGCTGAAGTGGTTATGCACAATGCTCCATTTCTCCTGCGAGTAGTACTTGTATTCATCTCATCTGAGCAACTATTTGATTATTTTTACTATCCTTTGTCTTACAAATATGCCTACATTAATGCCTACATCAATGCAGCTGAGAAACAGTGACAAAACCATTAATGTCATACATAAATGTGGGGGGGGGTGAGGGATATGGGGGAAGGGGAAATGAGGATATTAGTAAGTTATTTGTATTAAGCATCACCCAAAGAGAAATGGTGAAAAAGCTATCTAATAACTGGCTGTGCTTTCTAAGGCAATCATACAATTCCTACAGCAGGTGAAATATTCACATAGGTTTTTGGTTTTTTTTCCCTACAGTCTGACTCAATTAGTCAAGTCTGACTCAATCATTCTGATTGAAAAATTTGGTCAAATCAGAAAGATAAAAAACAGAAAAGAATTCATTGATTTGGGTTCTTTCATGTGTGTGTTTTTTAAGTGTTTGTGTTCGGCCAGTTAATCCTGCTGTCACATAGGATATTTCTAACATTTTGATCCAACTCTGAGACCTCCTGTTTGTTTTCTTCCTCCAGTATATTTTGGATATGTGCCCTCTAGACAGGAACCAATGATGGTAGATGGGTCAAATGTAAAAGCAAAATAATTAACAAAAGCTGGAAAAAGTCAAAGAATTTTTAAATACAAAAATCCCCAAGGAATGACTTTGGCAAAGTCTACATAAACTTGATGAAAAATATGCAATTAGCTCTTAATATTATAGTCAAATATAATCATTGTATATATTCCAACAAAGATTGGCATGATATTTACTTTTCTTTCCATTTTATTTCAAAGAAATATTATGACCATTTACTATAAAAGCCTTTTTTCTTTAAGTAAATATAGTTAGTTAGATAAATAGACTAATCAGTAGCAGTGAATCTATGTGCTTTCAATAAAATGAGGTTTTTCTACTCTTGGAACACACTCAGAGAGCAGACAGAACATCAGGCAGGTTTGAATAAGGGGAACAGAGTGATGAGCTTTGACTTAAGCTTCCAGTCACTATATGAATGAATTAAAGGAAACAACTGCAGCCTAAGGTCTCAGTACAATGAGGCAGGATTCCATGTGACCTGGCATTCACAGAGTCTCGATGGCCAGTCAGATGTCTTTGTTTCTCATGCATTTTCTATGCTGGGAATGGTCTCCTAGCTTTTCAGCCTCCCCCCAAACCTGTCATTACGCTTTGAGAGTACAGCTCCTGTGGCTTCGGAAGTGGTGACACCAGAACAGAGCCTTCATCTGCCTTTTCTTTCACACTATAAATAAAGCTCTTATCTTTCAGTATAATAAAATGGTTGAAGAGGTCCAGAGACAGATTGGGGAGTTGAAGGAAGGGCCTTCAAACATTCACTTGCAAATGTAGCTGTAGACTAACTCACAGAGGCCTAGCACAAGGGCAGCCTCTAGGAGGCTTAGTGAGTTCTCCTAGGAAACCCAGGCCCTGTGTGCCTGTACTCTTTGGGAATGAGTGAAGTGAGAATTTTAGCATAATTAGACTAAAGCCATATTCCTGTCCCTGTCACATCCAGGAGAACCACATTTTGTTCCACACAATGGACAATGAACAATATTCATTTCATTCTGCTTATGGTCCGACCGCTAGGCCAGATATAAAACTTCAGGCATTTATCATAAGACCTTTCTGTTTATCTGAAGACGGGATGCAGCAGAGCAATCCGGATTGAAGATTATCCTACACTACGGGTGAAATACAGTATTCTTAAGTGTTTTCTACTCTGATGACAATATGTGAGTTTCAGGGTGGAGTATTGCTGCTACTTCTTTCAAAGTACAAATTTCAAGGCACTCTACATGCCAACAGGGAAATATCTACAGCACTTGAAGTGATGTGCCTGCAGCTCCTCAACAATAAATACAAAATGAATGAGAAGATCTGAACAAAAAAAAAAAAAAAAACTTAAAACCCTTAAATAATTTATTCATGTTAACAATAATCACATTAGCTGAAATTGTACTACCTGCTGTGATTTACTTTTGAGACAATTTGGCACTGGTGATGGTGTGGGTGGGGCTATCATTTGACTTGGTCACATTTATGCTCTTTTACAAGATGTCTAACTTCCATCCCTCGCATATCTTCCAGGAGTTTTCTTTAAGTGTTTTCCAAACAGTTTAAATTAATCTTCCTCTCTAGGAGAGAAGAGCTTAATCCTTCTCTAATTATAGGACCTGATTGTGAACTGTGAAAGTATAAGATGTTAATTAGCAGGAAAGACTGGGAATAAAAGGGGCAAAAGAAAAAGCTTTTTTTTCCACCCTTTCTTCCCTTATTAGTCACTTCCCCGTGATACTCTGGTTTATCTCTCCAAAGGAATTTTCAAAATATGTCATCCCTCATTTTTTCACTTCTTTAAACAATAAGTATAATCCAGACTGGACCATTCCCCTTCTCTGTTTGTTTTGTTTTGTTTTTACTTTTGTGTTTCTAAAATAAACCTTCCCAATAACATTAGGACAGCAGCATAACATGTAGCAAAATTTCCATGGAGAGTGTATTTGTCCTCTCTTAAATAGCAACAAATTACTCCAAATCTTCCCAACTCAAAACATTAAACACTGATTGATTATTTCACTTAGTATTGAGGATCAGAACAAAAGTGACACACCTGAATATTTCTGGCTCAGGGTCCTTTATGAGGCTGCAGTCAAGGCCTAGACCAGGGTCTTGGTCATCTCAAGGACCCCCTGGGGCTGAAGATCCATTTCTAAGGTGATTCCTTGACAGGGCTATTGGTAGAAGGCCTCAGTTCCTCACCACATGATTCTCTCCAACGGGGCTGGTTGTCCTCATGACATGGAAGCTAATTTTCCCTAGAGTGAAAGTACAAGAGTGGGCAATGTCTTTATGAGCTTATCCTAAAAGTCACATGCCATCATTTCTGCCAAATGCTCTTTGTTAGAAGCAACTCAGTTCAACCCACATTCATGCAGAGGACTCTCAGGTTCAGTCTTTTGAATTTGTGGGCATATTTTATTTTTTTTACATTAATTTTCATTGGAGTAATATTGATTTATATTAAGTTTCAGTAACATTATATACATATATAAGTAACACTATATATCATTACAATTCAATATGTATATATGCTACATTGTGATCACCACCACCAAAAGATGTTTCCATTCATCACGGTAACATTGATCCCCTTTACTTATTTCACTGAACCCCTGACCCCTTTCTCCTCTTATCTGTGCTCTGTTTCTTTGTTTCTAAGAGTCTGTTTTTGTTTTGTTTTGTTTGCTTGCTTTGTTTCTTTGTAGTCCACATATAAGTAAAATCTTTAGTATTTGTCTTTCTCCATCTGACTTATTTCACTTACATGATACCCTTGAGGTACATCCAGTTTGTCAAAAATGGAAAGATTTCTTTTTTGTTGTTGTTTCTTAATTTAAAAACTCCTACAGAGGGGAATCCAATGTGAAAGTCAGTTATCTCAACAATCTCATATATAATATCAGGACTCTGCAAACAAAAGTAATCACCCCCCAAAGAAGCAGATAAATTATTCAGCCATTAAAAGGAAGGAAATTCTACCACATGCAACAATATAGATGAACCCGGAAGACATTCTACTAAGTGAAATAAACACTTAATGGTGAGAGTAAAACAAACAAACTCTTGGAAGCAGGAAATAAAATGGTGGTTTCCAGGAGCTGGAGGAGGAGGGTAATAGGGATTTGCTGTTCAAAGGGTGTATCGTTTTAGTGCTGCAAGGTAAGTCCTAAAGATCTGCTGTACAACATTGTGTTATAGTTAACAATAATGTATCATAGACTTAAAATTCTGTTAAGAGGGTAAATCTATTGTTATATGTTCTTACCAGAGTAAAAACACCTTAATTACTTTAAAAAGAAAAAGTAAATGATTTGTAATAAGTTACTCTAGATGCTTTCCATGTGGTTAAATATAACTATAGGTGACTTGCTACACATGTTAGACTTTCAGATGATTAAATTTTTGAAAAAAACTTGAAGTTATTAACTTTCAACTAAAAACATAGAACTACCTTCTAATGAAAATTTCTATCATAGTCATTTTTATAAAATAAATATATTAATTCCCTATTGCTGCTGTAATGAATTATTGCAAACATAATAACATAACACAATAATCATTTATTATTTTATAGTCCTAGAGGTCAGAAGTATAAAATAGGTCCACAGGGCTGTGTTCCTTCTGGAGACTGTAGACAGAATTTGTTCTCTTAACTTTTCTGGCTTTTAGAGTCCACTATATCCCTTAACTTGTGACCTCTTCCTCCAACTTTAAAAAAAAATTTTTCTCCTCTTCTATCTTCTGCCTTCTTACAAGGACCCTGTGATTACATCAGGTCTGCCCATATAAATTCAGGACAATATGCCTATCTCAAGATTTTTAACTTAATAATATCTGCAAAGTTCCATTTGTCCTGCAAGGTAAGATACTCACAGATTTCAAGGGTTAGGTCACGGACAACTCTGGGGACCAATTTCTGTGTTCCACACCTGATTTTAGATGTCAGAATTCAAATAAAATAGTCTGACAAAATTAGTTAATACCTATAAAAAAGAATTACATTAACTTGACCTATTTGTTAATGTTCAACTTGTGATGAAAATTTTTGATTTTATGTACAGAAATCACATTTGGTCTTACTCTCAAAAATTAAGTCCTATAAGGCTAAGTTACATTTGCTTTCAATGCTTGTTTACAGTTAACATCTTGGATGAACTAGAATTGAAGCCTGAAAGAAATGTGCAGCTAATATTCTCAAAACATTGATTTCTTTCACCAGTGGCTCCAGTCCCTCACTTTTATCTCAACCATCCCACAAATGATGAAGAAATACAAAGCGCCTTGGGCCCAAGGCAAAATGTTTACTTTGAAGTATATGAGTTTGCCAAGGAAAGTCTTAACAATTTCTTTTGAGAATGGAAAGAGTTTTCCAAGTACATAGTATTACAGAACTTACAGGTGTGAGGGGAGATTTCAAAATTGTACTGTTCTCTACCCTCATGCCCCTCCATACCGATCATTTTACATATGAAGATTCTTATGATCAATGAGATTAATGTATGTTGTTAAGCTCTTAGGCTGATAAAAGAGTTTGACCTAGAGGCCAGGTTTTCAAACCCCTGACATAGTGTGTTTTTACTTTATCACATGCCCATCACATGCCAGAATTTATTCCTTGTTTGAAAAAAGGTGAATTGTATCAAGGTTATGCATGGCATGGGATGATGGTAATATGGCTGCCAGGTATTGAGAATTTAACATTGTACTCATTTCTAAAACAACTTTAAATATGTTATCTTGTATGTATTTTATCTCAGAAGCATTACCCAAAACGCACAAATAAATTGTCACTACATTTCCGAAGAAAGAATAAATAAATAAATTAGCAATTTCAAAATGTGATGTAACTTTATGAGATTCCTACCAATTTTATGTATTGAAATTTATAAAACCACACAGTGTTAATATAATTGTTTGTTCAACACTCATTTCACATTAATCCTGTATTTAGTACTATCTACATAAGATATAAAAAAGATAGGTGTCACTCCTAATTAAAAAATCATATAATTTCAGCAAGTTAAGAAGGGAACAGAGAGTTGTATAGAAAAGTTCTAAGTTCTATCAGGGGCCCCCCTGGTGGCGCAAGGGGTTAAGTCTCAGCACTATGAAACTATCCACAGCCACTGCAGCATGAGTTCAATCCCTGGCCAGGGAGATACCCACATGGCACAGCAGACCTCTCCTGTCTTGCCCCACTATTTCCCTCAGCAGTATTTCAGTCAATCCACCTTTTCTGCTCCCCACTCTATCTCTGGTGAATACTCTTCCTTCCCAGCACCTCTGGCCTGTATCCCAGTTCTTGTATGCATAAATAAATAAATCTTTAGAAAAGAAAAGGTCTGTCAGTAAGGTGACATTTGAGGAGTAATTGGAATGATGTGAAGGAGAAAGACATGAAAGAGCTTTGGGAAGAGTGTCTCTGGTAGTGCAACAAGCACTGTAAAGATCTAGATATGGGCAAATACTGATCTGCTTAAACCAGCAAGCAATCCAGTGTGAGTTGAAGCCAAATGGACTAGGCTATTAGGCAAGGGTTTGTCCATGTATGGTCTTGTAAGTCATTGAAAATATTTTGACTTTTACCCTGAATATAATGGAAAGTCTTTTGAAAGCATTGATTAAGTATATTTAAATGACTTGATTTACATTTTAAGTAGAATGGAATCTATTTGAAGAAGAGATAGTAGGCAGGCAAATATTGAAGTAGGGTAACCAGTTAGGTGGCTTCTGCAATAGTCCAGATAAGAAACAGTAGTGCCTGGGATGAGTGCTAATGGTGGAAGGTATGAAAAGTGATTCAATTCAGAACACAGTTTAACAGTAAAGCTAAAGAACTAGCTGGTAGGGTGTATTGAATTCTAAGAGAATAAAGTTAAAAATGATTCATAGCCTTTTGGCCTAAATACATGGATCAATATAAATACCACACACTGAAATAAGTAGAAAAGGGGGAGGAACAAATTTGGAGGTGAGAAAATGAAATTTAAGAGTTGCATATTATATATTTGTTAATTTTGAGAACTCAATTAGATGTGAAAATAGAAATAAGGAAAAAACAGATAAACATAGGAGTCTGAAACTCAAAGGAAAGGCCAGGGAAAATTAAAAAGTAGGATTCATCGGCATTAAATGACATTAAAAGCCACGAAATAGGGTAAGCTCCCGTAGAAAGCTTAGTTAGAAAGGAGAAAAATACTCCGATATTTAGAAGTTGGGGGAAATGAACAAATCAGTAACAAATGTCATTGAAAGAGAAACCAGTGGATGAGAAGAAAATGGTGGAAGTCCACTGTACTACAAGGTCAGTGAAGAAAATATGAATCTGCATGAAGGAAATTTTCCTGTGGTGGAAAGACACAGGAGGCACAATGGAAAGATGAGTGGAGTTAGGGAGGGATTGGAGACTGGTCCATATAGAGGTAGTATGATACCGATGACCTGGTAACCAGGGTAATTTAGAAGATGTTTAAGTTGAGAGTATAGCATGATTAGTTAAAAGTATGAAAAGATTATGCTTTATTTCTAAATAAAATTGAATTGAATATACTGAGTGCAACTACTGATTTTATAAAAATTCCACAACCTGTAGAAAGCTTAAGAACTGTAATTTCTGATTAACTTAAATTGCTGTGTAGCTGCCAACCAGGGTTTTGACTTTCTCAAATGTATCTTTGCTTTGATAGTCAGCATACTTCAGTGTATTAAAATGAACATGGGCTTCACATCTGTCTGAAAATTATTCTCACATTGAACAATTATAGGCAACAAGTACACTGTGGACCACCTTCATGTATAGAGACAGGGAAAATCAGATAAAATTAATGTCTAGGACAGTCTTTTGACAGGAGAAGGCAACTCAAATTAGCATATATCAGAATGAATTCCTGTGTAAAAAGGGGAAGAAAATGCCAAAATGACCTCTTTTTCTTTGATGATAGTAAGTGGTTGACAGACAAGTCTATGCAGATCTATGTATATATTTTTAGCAATAGTTAGAAGCGCTTAATCTGATCTGATAAAATGTCTCAGTGCAGGTACAGATGACAATCACTGCCATAACCTTAAGGACTGGCAAGAGATAAGAAACTAAACTCAATGTGAGGTCATAAAAAGAAGTACCAGAGTAGATTTTTGTCCCTGTTCTCTTTTTAGGAGCTTTTTAAAAAAAAATTCTCTATAAACAAGTTAATGAGCTATGCTAATTTTTAAAAAATATATAAGAAATATACATTTCTGTTATATAAAATACCCTTACATTTTCTTAGCTCGTACATAAAAATATTTTCTAGTTATCCATATACCATAGCTGAATCTGGACTCTAGTCCACTAAACTCCAAAAACAAGAATCTCTTTTCCTATATAAAATGAATTTATGTAAGGTTGGATATTATTTAAAACATCAGAAATGCAGAATAGACCTCAGTGAATTAAGACAAAAAGTGCAGTTATTTTCCGCACAGTTTGAAACTGAGGGAGTAATAATTGTAATATAAAATGTTAATTAATGTATCAACTTGTGGGAAATAGAGGTTTGTTTTTTTTTCCCATGTCCTTTGAGTTTGGGTTCTTTCAAATTTCATAAGACATACATGATAAAGATGTAACATACAAATAAAATAAGAGTCCCTATACATTGCCTAAAAGACAAATTGCTTCTAAAACATTCTTTTTTTTTTTAATTCCCTTGCAGGAGTGGAATTAACAAACCTATTTACTGATTCTTGTCAATTACGGTTTTAGTTATCAAAGAAACATGTTTCCTATATTCTGAAAAACAATCACAACACTATATACTAAAGTACCTATTTTCTCCCACAGAGAATACTTTTTTCCTTGCTAATTATTTCAACACTTCTCAAAACTGTTTTATACTTATAACTGTCCTGATTTTTTAGCCTTATAAATTAAGGTTCAGAAATGTAGTATGGCTTGGTTATAAATAAAAACAAATGACATAAGTGATTTCCAGTTTTCTTTATTGCATAATATAAAAATCAAACAAGATGCTGTCGGCCTCTGAAATGTTCTCAAAGGACATTCTTGTCACAACAATTGCAACTCACAAATTCCTTTGAAGCCAACAGGGAGAGAGGAATATGTAGATGATAAAGAATTTGAAAGGGATTATAATCCTCAATGTACCTTTAAACTAAGATAAATTAAGGTAAATTGAATCACTGAATTTGTTTCCAAAAGGCTCACAGAAATCTATAATTTTCAGTTTCTGTTTAGTTTTCTGCAACAGAAACATAACTACAGTGGCCTAAGCAAATAAAGATTCATGTTTTCACAAAATAGGAAATTATAAAGTAGGCACTCTGGTACATCATCTCAAGTTGCTCATCAAGCATCCAGGCTACTCCTTTCCTGTTCTTCCATTTTTTTTTAAATTAATTTATTTATTTATTTTGTATAGAGGCATGTTTTATTTATTTATTTGTTTGTTTGTTTGTTTGTTTTGTTTATGCATGCACTGGGTACAGTCAGAAGCACAGGAGGGTGAGAGAATTCACCAGAACCAGAGCGGGGAGCAGAGCAGGCAGAAGGACCGAAGTACACTGCTGAGGGGAGCAGCGGGCAGCAGGAGAGGTCTGCGCGCCATGTGGGACCCTCCTCCGGTCCGGGGATCAAACCAGCGCCGCAGGGGCCACGGGCAGCTTCACAACCCAGCGCTCAACCGCTGCACCACCGGGGAGGCCCTGTTCTTCCATTTTTAATATGTGCCTCTCATTCACACGGGTGCACCATTTTGTTATTTGGACATAAAGAAATAAAAAAGCACTAAAATCGAGTCTAAAAAGAGAATGTCAATCACTTGATTTCTAATTATATCAGTTTGATCAAAATAATGTATTCAACAACCAGTCAATATGGGTGCTGGAACATTCCTTTAAATTGGGCAAGTGCACCCATTCTTTGAGCAAAACTTGGTAGTCCATAAGAAGGGGTAAAGTTGCAAGATGAAA